GGGTATGGGTCATTACCTAAACATTGCACTAGTTATCCTTGAGGGAAGTCTTAGGAGGATGTTCTTATGTATAAATATACTTATATGGTAGATGATATGTATATGATGACCTTGCACATTGTTGATTCTACATGTTGATTAGTTTCACTTATGAATATGTGTTGATACATTGTTGAAGTATGATGATATGTACTCTTAAATGCTATGCTATGTGAAGTAGGATGTTGGTCACGATTCTTGTTGAGTTACTTGATTGCATAAAGTTATGGGGATTTGCTTGGTAATTGCACTTGTTGACTTGATAGAGTTCATGGGTAATGGTCTTGCTTTGATTATGTTATAATGAACTCTTATTTATGATGCTATATGACTTGATGATAGAGTTACTTGACCATGTATTCAATCACATGATATACATGTTGAATTGACTAGTTTTGATGTTGTTGGTCTTGTGATGTACATGCCTATGACTTAATGAATATGCCTATGTGATTTGGTATGGTCTTGTTAAATATGCATACGTTTTTTCAAAGTAAATTGCATAATTAATGAAAATGTCCCTTTTAGCATGTTTTTATGATATGTGTGCATATGGTCTCATACTTAGTACAAGCGGTGTACTAACCCCATTTTCTCCTTTTTCCAACATTAGGATCCAATCGTTGAAGTGCTTTTGAAGACAACTTGAAGAAGGCTTGGATCTCTTGATCATCCAAGTAGGGTAGCTCCTCACTTTCCGAGGGCGATGCCACTATCTAGCTAATGAAGTTGCTTTACTTTTAAGACTCTTATATTTCTTTCATTTTCATTTGGATATTAAATGTTGCATTACCTATATTTGGTCTTATTTCATTGACGTATGGGCTAGGCCCGATTTGATATACTCCTATTAGATGGTTATGAGATGAGATGACTATTTTAAGACTATGTTATATTTTAAATACTTATGTGCAATAAAAGTAGATGACTAATTAATCTTCCTATACGAAGGGTCTATGTATACTCGTATATATATATATATATATATATATATATATATATATATATATATACAGACACACATATATATATACACACACACACATATATATACACACACATATACACACACGCACACATATACAGACACACACACACACACACACATATGTGTGTGTGTGTGTATATATATATATGTGTGTGTGTGTGTATGTGTGTGTGTGTGTGTGTGTGTGTGTGTGTGTGTGTATATAGGTCTATGTAAACCTCCAAGTAGAAGTAATGGAAAGCTTTAAATTTCCGCTAATTTTGACTTATGAATGTAATGATGTTAGCTAACAGACTAGTCTTAGTCCTCAACAAGGACGACGACGTCGATTACGTCTAGGGGATATTCCCGGATGTGACACGAACAAAGTGTTTTGATTAATATTAGGCGTTACTATTTGATGTAAAGTATGATAGGTAAAGACTAAAATGGATTTTGATGGACTTGGAGTTAGGATTGTTATAGTTGGGCTAACGTGTTGGGTTTGAGAAAATTGCAAAGTTAAAGACTTAAGTTATTTAGAATGAAAAAAAAATATGTTTAATTTATCTATGAATAATATACGACTAATTATAAAATTTATATATCTAATTTATCGGTCTGGTTTGTTTACTTTGCGGTTATTTTTTTAGTAAAACCAAAACTAAACCAAATAGTATCAATTTTCAATATTTAAAAATCAAACCTAACCAAACCAAACTAAATATTAATTATTTTGTTGGTTTAATTCGGATTGGGTTTGGTTTGTTTTTTTTAACCATAACTATGAACAGTTCTAGTGACATGCAGATTCTTAGATAATGAACAATATGCGTGAAGAACTTGTACTTCAACTAATGTGAAGAAAAGGAAATATTTGAGAGTTTTATGTTTTCATTATTTGATACGTTTTATAATGTTTGAATGTTAGAATTTATTTAATTATTAAATTATATTATTTGACAATAGAATCGGAAAAAAGATTTGATTGGTTGTGATTCTTATTATGAAAAGACGTTATATGTTGAAATTTTAGAAATATTCATGTTACAATAATTTTATTTGCATTTCATATAACTAATTTTTTCACCAAATATAAATATTTTAAGATATTATTTTCAATAAAAAGTATTAACTTTTTATAGAAATGAATTTTTTATAAGTATAATGTTTAATATAATATGTATTTTCAAATATTAAAAATCAACATTCTTAATATTCAAATCGATATGTCTAAATAGGGGTGTGCACTATTTGGATTAAATCGAAAAATCAAACCAAATGAAATCGAATTTTAATTTGGATTGGTTTTTTGGATTCTTGATTTGTTTTGGATTTATAATTTACTTTGTTTGGTCTTTTGGTTTGATCTCGAATTTTAGAAAAATAAAAACTGAAAAATCGAACTATATTATATTATATACGTGTGTGCGCGCGGCGTGTGTGTGTGTTTTTAGAATATAGTTGGAGTTAACCACTTTTATCCCTTTTTGAATATTTTCATTATGCTTTAGTTTATTTTCGTATGTTTGGACATCTATAATTGATATACTTTTAAGTATTGTGTTTTACGTTTTACTTGTGATTTATATTAAAAAGTATATTTAAGAAATATATATATATATATATATATATATATATATATATATATATATATATATATATATATATATATATATATATATATGATCTTTTAAAAATGCAAATTTAACTTTTTTATGTTTCTAATTATTGGCATAACCAATTAGCCAAACCAAAAAAATTCAAACCAAACTTATTTTGGCGGAATGGGTTACACTTCTTCATTGCCAAAAATCAAAAACCCAAATAGAATAGTATAAAATCGAATTAAAAAACCGAAGACACACCCCTATGTCTAAATTTTAATGAAAGCAATTGAGGCATCATATGTTACCCCAATTTCATTAATACGAAACGCTGAAAGAGAAAAATATACTAAAGTTCTTTTGAAATCATAAATTGGACAAATAAATTAAAATAACTATTTTAATATGAGACCAAAGTAATATTAAATGAAATGAGTCCAGGGTTATTACAGAGAAAATGAATCAATAAAAATTTATTTATGGAAAAGTGAAAATCATTTTGATGGTCCAAGTATGCTTTAAAGAACAAAAAATTGTACTTTGTCATACCTTCGGAAGAAAAGGTAACTTATGTCGAGTTATCTATTTTTGCACTAACAATAGATTGAGATTTAGGCTTTTCTCTATATGTATTGAGCTGAATTTCCACAAAGATACGCTTAATTTGACATGGAAGACTGTTTAGCAGGCTACTATATCACACATAAAAAAGTGTGTGTGTGTGGTCCTGGTCGTAGGTCCATAATAGGTGGCGGGGATCTTTTCCATACAATCCCAGCCTCTGAACTATTTGTTGCCCAGTAGCACGGGGCGTCGTCGAATCGACTCCCCATTGCTAGGGTCCGTCGGTGGTGGTCCTGCAAAAGCTGTCCAGTTGCACCTTGGATTGGGGTGTGTTGGCAAATTCATTCCAAGTCTTTTATGATCCAAGGATGATTATTTTAGGGTCTTTAAGGTATTTTAAGTTGGTTTATAGTCTTAGACCTAGACAATACCTCATTTCAACTATCCAAAACCCCTCCCTCAAGAATGAACTCTCTCAAGCTCCATAGAGGCAAGAACTCAAGGAAGGTCTAGAATTGAAGGTTTTGGACGATATCTTCATCAAAATTTCGTTGGTTTCTTCATTTTGAGGTATGGTAATTGATCCTTTAACTTTCTTTCATTGAAGGAGCGATTTCAAAAAGGGTTTTAAACTCAAACTTCTTCTATTTTTGACTTTAAGCATGGGTCTTTGCATGAAAGGGCTTTAAGGAATCAAATATGTTTTTTCGTGTTAGTCTGAGATTTTAATGTCAAAACTTCAAATTAAACCATGCTTATGCTTATTATCAACTTTTGGCTTATGAAGTGGGTTTGTTGCTCTTGTTTAAATAATGTTAGAGTTGAGTTTCTTATCTTGTATTTTAAGTTTACTACCCATATATGCCTATTTATGTTTTTTTTTGGATGAAATATTGATAAAAGGTGGTGAGAGCTTGGATGAAGGGTAAGTTGTTCTATCTTTTTTAGTTTCCATTGAAATGATTCTTGAGTGGTATGATCCACCTTTGGTGGCGGTGTTTATTTGGAGTATATGAATATGTATTTATATGTGTAGTGTGAGTATGGCCTTGAAGGCTTAATATGTAAAGCAAAGTGATAGTGATGATGTTCTTGTTGATTTGCTTTATGAAACTTGAATGTATAGTTTGTAGAGATTATGTCTGAATGAAGTATATGCATATGTGAAGCATGATAGTGTGTGATATATGATGAAGGGAGGTATGAGCATGTTTAGGAGTCAATACTATGAAAATGGTGATTATGTGGATGATGTGCTCACATGTATTCACACACACACACACACTTTGAATGAATGAATGAAGTTAATTAATGTGAATGAGGGATTTTAGGGTGGACACTCTTTGTAAGTAGAGATTAAGTGTCTAGACCATCCCTACTATCCCTATAGTATGAAAATAGGAGTTTTGGGGTGGACACTCTTCGTGAGTTGAGATCAAGTGTTTAGTAGCAACCCCTACTATTCCCAAGAGCTTTCTAAATAAGGTTGGAGGATGGATACCCTTCGTGAGTTCAGATTTGGTGTCCAATAGTTACCCTTAACCTTTAGTAATGAATGTTTAAGATTCCGTGGGGGAGTTATGCTTACCACCGAGAGGATTTGAAGAAGGGGTGGTTACACTTCGTGATTAGAGATGATGTATCCAATATACCTCTTGAGATGGGTGTTGTAAAAACCTCCAAGTACACACTAGAAGTTAGGACAACCTTTAGGTCGAAACAAGGCGTGATCAGCCTTTCAATGGTCTTGCACAAGCCTCTTCGCTATCATTCATTACATAAGACATGAAAAGTAATGCAGAAATCTAAAATTTTCACAACAATAATAATAAGAAACTTTTTTTATAAAAGCTAAGAAATATGTCTCGTCATCACAAGCCAACTTAAAGACAAGACATAAATATCTTAGGGACACAACCTTTTCACATTGAAATAAATACATAATAAATCTTAACAAGCCTTAAAAGAAGAAACTAAAGAAACAAAGACTATGCCTTCGAATATATGAGGACATATTTAGTCTTGAGAGAGTCGATTCCCAAACTTGCCTTCTACCCTTCAACTCGGCTCCAACCTATAAAGTATAGAAGAGTATGGGGTTAGTACAAACAATTTACTAAGTATGACATATGAAAAATCATGCAAAAAGGGACATTTAGTATAAACATACAAGTCATGCTATTTTGGTAAAAAGCTTCATGAATTAAGTTACAAGACATCATTTAAAACCATCATTAGCACATAAAGTAAAACATCCATTTTTCTCAACATAAAAGCATACTTACAGTGAACCCACTTAACACATAATTCTTCCTATCCCAAGTTATCCTAAGACCCGCTTAGTTAAGACATGAGGAGATTGCTCATACAATCTCTTCACCACACACCCAAGTGATCCTTAAGACTACCAAGGACAATCATACTTCATTTCACTTAGCAAGTCAACATTCAATACTAAAGGCACTATAGAAACATACATACACTTAGGAACTTCACATAAGAACCATCTTCCAAGGAAACCCCCAATTTACACTTGGTGCAATGTGAAAGCATCATCCCATACTACCACTTCCACTTAATGCTCCTTAGGAATAACCTTAGAATAGGCACATCACATTCATCACATACTAAGCTTTCATCATACAAGTCTTAACATCAACATGCTTTCTTAACATTTAACATAAGTCACATTACTTTCATTTACATCATATCATGACCCATTCATACATTTCATATAAGGACATACCAAGACTCCCTCCAAATGCATACTTGTGCAATGGATATGTAGCGTCTCATTCCACCTTCTACCCTAAGTAGTACACCCTTAAGAAGACTTAGTTCATTTGGATACATTTGTGGGGGATAGCTTTAACCGACATAGACGATGAGAGCTTGACATGGAATCCCGGTATATCCTAATCGGATGAGGGATCCCTACTTGCCTAAGGCAGGGTCATATTCTTTAGCTTTTACATGGGTTCTCCAATACCTACACCTGCGCAGACACATATTTAAGGTATAAAAAGATTGTTACTAGGTAACTCACTCTCTACTAATGAGAAGCACATATATCAAGAGGTACATTGAACAGAACCTCTTTACTCACGAAGTGTACCCACCCCTTCTTCAAATACTCTCGGTGCTAAGCATAACTCCCCATGGAGTCTTAAACATTCATTGACTATAGGTTAGGAGATAACTATTGAACACCCCATTTCAACTCACGAAGGGTATCCAACCTCCGACCTATCTTGGAAAGTTCATTAGGAATAATGAGGTTTCTACTAAACACTTCATCTCTACTCACAAAGAGTGTTCACCCCAAAATACCCCTTTTTCATACTTAGGAATAGTAGGGATGGTCTAGACTCTTCATCTCTACTCACAAAGAGTGTTCACCCTACAATCCCCCATTTTCATTCATTGACTTTATTCATGCATTCAAGTGTGTCTGTGACCACATGTGAGCACATCTTTCACATAATGACCACTATTCATAACATTGAATTCTAGACATGCTCAACTCACATTTATCATAATTTACACATCATCATACATATACATATCAAAATTATCATTTCACTTCACATATGATGCTTCCAAGGTCATTCTCACAATACACATATAACTTCATATATTTCAAGTAAACACCACCTCCAAAGTTTGACCATACCACTCAAGAGTTAATTAAAAAATAAGGATTAAAAAGCATAGCCAACTTACCATTCATCCAAGATTTCACCACCTATACACAATTTATCCGATAATCCATCATAAAATAGCCCCCTTTAGGGCAACATCTAAAACTCAATAAAAACACCAAGAAACAATAACTTTAACATTATCTACTCATGATCATAGAACCCATTTCATAATCCAGACATGATTCCATTGGGGTTTTCTCATTAAAATCATCATTTATAACTAGGAAAACTCATTTTAATCAATAAAACATTTTCATGCAAAGACCCATACTTAGAGTCAAGGAATAAAGAAGTTTCAAGTTGAAATCCTTTTTGAAATCTCTTTGAAGTGGCTCCTTGAATGAAAGAAGGTTCAAGGATGACTACTATACCTTAATATGAATAAACCCACAAAAATTTGGTGAAGAAAACGTGAAGAAGTTGGTCCTCTTCCTTGGAGCTTGAAGCTTCTTCAATGGAGGTTTTTGGAGAGAAGGTTTTGGAGAAATTTAATTTGATCTTTAGGGTTGGAAATGATAGGTGAAATTAGGTTTAAAATTGCCTAAATCAGTACACAAATGATCCCCAAAGTCCCCAAAATACACCCACACCATTTGGACCCTTTCCAAACTTGAAATTTTACTTAAAAACGTCGCGGCCAAATCTGGGACTTGGCTGCGCATCGCGAGGCAAGATCTTGATTTTTGCCTTTCAAAAATTCTGAGGAAGTAGACCTCGTGTCAAGGGAACGTCGCAAGGTTGGGCTTCATATCCTGCCCCTGTACGCTGCCTTGGGCAGCATCTTGACCCATGTTTGGGTCCTCCTTGGGGGCCCTTTGAGTGGTCCCCGAGGAGTTGTACTCGGACGTTTTGACACTTGTTACATCCCTCTATACATAGGAACCATTGACACTCAATATCACTCTCAAACCATCCCCCAAAACTTCACCAAAAACACGACGACACACTAGTTCAACTTCAACTAGTTTTCGAACGTCTTAGGCGTTTGACTTCCAAATGATCCCAAACTTTACGAACTAACTTCTAATGCTAAAATTAAATATTTTAATACACTGTTAACTCATGGAACACATGTTAAGCTCTAGTTTGACCCATTTCATTTTTTTGGGTTGTTATAAATGCTCCTCGTTAGAAGATAAATGAGTCACTTAGAAGAAATCTCCTTATACCTTAACTATGTGTCCGCATAGGAGTAGTTATTGGAAACCCCATGTGATGTCTCAAGAAGGACCCTACCTTAGGCAAGTGGGGATCCGTCATATTTTGGAAATCAATTTGATGGAACCCTTTGAGGAAAGAAGTCTCAAAGGTGAAAGGAATCTCATACCTTAGTTTTTGATGAAGATTGATGGAGAAACTTGACCCTTTGCAGCCCTTGAACCCACCTCTAACTTGGTATTCAATGGGGTTTGTTTGGGAGAGAGAAAGAAGAGAGTTTTGGGTTTGAGAATTATGAGATCTTAGGTTAGTCTAATTATCTTAGGGTCTTTATATAGGTCATTAACAAATTTAATTAGACCTCCCCTAACCCCTAATTAACCTCCTAACTAAGCCAACTAATTAAATGAATCAAGTCAAAACGTGCAGCAAAACACAAACCTCACAGACGGAACCCCGACCGATGCCCTATTTGTCAATCGACAGGCCAAGGACCAACTGTCATGTTGGTTCGTTGTTGAGTTCAGAGACTAGTCCAAAACAGGCCTTAGACAATTTTTCTAAGTGTCCGTCAACATAGGCAATCGACCCCCAGATGATTGACACACGATTCGTTGATGACAACCGTCTATGAACACTGCCTTTTGGCAGCCTCTTGCCAAATCGCAAGGGTTCTCCTCAAGGGCCCTTGATTGGTCCTTGGGGAGTTGTGCCCAAACATTTTGACTATGAACTAACTCTAACATGTATTAGATACCCTTCCACCAATTTTCATCATTTTTTGACTCCAAAAAGCATGTCAAATATGATAAGGCACACTAACACCTCATTGAACTAGTTTCCAGACGTCATGGACATTCTTCGACGTTTTGATTCCTAGACTTCCTAAATGATTTATGTACATTAAAATTAACCTTAAAACAATATCTAAACCCTGTGACACTCATGTTAGGCTCTAGAATACGTCTTAGACTTCCGAAGTGTTACAATCCTGCACTTCATCGTTTGTGATAAAAATTCCCTCATTTGGGGGCTAAGCTCCCAACTAAGTGGAGACGCCCCCCTAACGACAGGGCATCATTCAAACCACTAGTCATCGATCATAGTCGTGGTGACATTTCCTTGGCCGATTTTTGCCAACCTTTGGGTCCTCCCCAAGGACTGTGAGGGTGGTTCTTGGGGAGTTGTGCCCAAACGTTTCGATCCTAAACACAACCATATGCTTATTAGGATACCCCCTATCATTTTAGACTTCAAACAACACTCCAACACAAGACAAACATACAAAGGCACACTAGCTATACAAACGACTAGTTTTCAGACGTCTTGGTCGTTCTTTGACGTTGGACCTCAAACCTCATCAAACCAACCATTACAAGCTGTTACACGCCTTGTAAAGGAGTTATAAACTCTTAAGGCACATCTGGAACTCTAGATTATCCTAGATCGTTTTGAGGGTCCTAACAAGGAGGCTGCAACATATAAGAACTATCTCACTTTTTTCACACTCTTTTCGTGCGTTAGAGGCGTTTCTGAGCTGGTAATTGTTGAGGCCGCCTTTTTGAGGCGTTTCTTTTTTATATGATCTAAGAAAAACTAAGATATTGTTGTCGACATGAGGACTAAAATGAGCTTTGTTGTTATTGGGTTGCCTCGTCTATCAAGCAAGGAAAGTAGGACAACCATACTAGTAGCTGTCATGAGCATAGCAAGGCTAATGATCCATGTTCAACAAGTTGAGGAGGACAAGCTGAGGGATAACACATCAAGGAATGAGTTTGGGTAAAAAAAAAAGGTACGTGAACTGGTCTTCTTTCTAACGTAAATTGAAAGGATCTATTTTTTCATCTTCTAGTGCACCTGCATCAAGGAACCATTGTGTGTACAATACTCAAGATTCTCAAAATTGATAGATCTAGACCAGCTTACTGCAAGGTGGTACTTAGACTCTTGCATGTTCCCACTGTGGTAGAAGTCATTCAGGGGTGTGTCGTGATGGATTCATTGATTGCTTAAAATGTAGCCAAAATTGGGATTTTATAAGAGAATTTCCTAAGTACAGACAAAGAAATGATAAAGAGGGCAATACAACCCAGTACACTTCAGTTTCTTCACCAAATAAGAGTTGCATCTGGATAAGCTACTTCAGGTGTAGACGGAGAAGGAAACCATTTTTATGCTATCACTAGTCACTGAGAGCAATAGGATTCCCCAGATATTGTCACATGATCCAAGTCTTCAGTTTTGATGTTTTTCATGAGTAACTTTATGATCCCTTTAGTGTTTTTACTTATCTTGAGAATTCTTTTCTAGCTGAAAGAGTCAATCATAATTGTACCATTTCTCATAAATCACAAGAATATCATGGATGACTTAGTATAGTTAGACATGGTAGAGTTTGATGTCATTCTAGGTATGGACTGACATAATGCCTATTATGCATCAATAGATAAGCACTCAAGTAGTCAAGCTCCAGTTTTCTAGTGAACCAGTTATAGAGTGGAAAATCATTTCAGCAGTGCCTATGGGTCATTCCATTTCGTACCTCAAGGAAAGAAAGTTAGTTTTTAAGTGTTGTATTTATCACTTAGTCTGAGTAATGACTCAAGTGTTGAGGTACCTCCCATTTAGTCAATTTCTATAATAAAAGAGTTTTCATAAGTCTTTCTTGATGATCTACCCGAAGTCCCTCCTGAAGAGATAAATAGACTTCGACAGACATTATTCCATATATTCGTCCTATCTCTATTCCGCCATATATAATGGCACCATCAGATTTGAAAGAGTTGAAAGAACAGTTGAAAGATTTGTTAGACAAGGGTTTCATTCGACCAAGTGTCTCACCTTGGGGTGCTCCTGTCTTAATTGTGAGAAAAAAAAGATGGTTCCCTTAGAATGTGTATAGATTACCACCAATTGAACAAGGTTTATCAAGAATAAATATCATATTCGAAGGATTGATGGTCTTTTCGACCACCTTTGCTTCCTACTTCTCAAAAATTGATCTTAGATCATGCTACCATCAGTTGAAAGTTAGAGAATATAATATTTCAAAGACAACTTTTAGAACAAGATATGGATGTTCTAATTCAATGGTCCGCCCTCTCTTTCACAGCCTAGGAATACACATCGATTAGCTTAAGTAAGCCTTTTTGACTAATACACTTTGTTGATGCAACAAACTTTTTCTATTCCACGAGCAGATCCCCACTTATTTTTTTTAAAAAAAGAAATTAAGAAAACTTAACTTAAAAAGATTTTAACAGACTAAATCTTAATAAATTTAGAGAAAATGGGTAAGAGATTTTTATTTACGCTTCAAGAAGGTTTTTAAGGTATTTGAAACGTCCGCTAACATGCAATTATCGTACGACTTAGGTTAAAATTTTTTTGACTATTTTTTAGGAAAATGATTGATACGAACATAATTATATTAATTTAAAATATTTGATTAACTTGAGAAAATAGTTAAAAGAATATAAAATTGGTACTTAGTTGAAGCATTTGAATTGAAATGCAAGTGACTAGAATTTTAATAAAACTAAAATTTATTAAATTTACTTGACTCATTTGTAAAAAAATAATTTAAACTAGTTAATTTGAGCATGAAAATCATTTTAAATTATTTGAAAAATAAATAAAAGGTTTTGGTTAAATATATTGAATAAAAATGTAAGAGTTGATAAAAGTAAACTATATCAAAATAAACCAACATAAAAAATACAGTTCATCTTTTAAAAATTTAAGTAAGTTATTTAAAGTTAGAGTTAACCAAAAACACAAAGCAATAAATAGTCACAATTAAGTAAGCTAAGAGAAATAAAGGAGAAGATGAATTTGGGCTTTTCTTGGCCAAATTTGCTACTACTTTTCGGGTTTAACCCAAAACCCATTTTTGTATACACAAACTGTATATCAGTGTATACAGCTCGCATATCAGCATCATTTCCTACATATTAACCCATACATCGACTGTATACAGTCCACCTTGATGCCTCCACCCAGTATCTTCGTTTCTACCTAGTATTTGTTGCATTTTGACCTACATACCAACCCATATATCGACTGTATACAGTCCACCTTGACGCCTCCAACCTGTATCTTCGTTTTTTACTAGTATTTGTTGCATTTTGACCTGCATATCAATATTTCCGTGGTGTATACTAGTGTATACTGATGTATATAGCATGCGTACTGCCCATTTTGGACTTCCCAAACCTGTTTTCATTTCCACGCTCATATAGAAAGGTTGCTGACTCGATGGAGGAATCATTGGGTTTCTACCCAACCCGAGATGCAAGGAGAGTAACAAAGGGAGTCCAATGGACTCAAACCGAGGGAATTCATGCAAGAAAAGAAGGACAAAGATTGATGTTTGCGGCTGTGATAAATATGCAATATGACATTTTTCAAATTATGACAACATCAAAGAAGAGAGGGAACAACAGTGATGGTATTCAAAAAATGAAAAGAACATTTCTTGCATTTCGTGGAAACACTGACAACATGCTTGCTATATCATTGAACAAAGTCACTGTTGACTAATTCATCCATGGCCTTTGAAAAAGAAATGAATAGCTATTGTATCAAACAAACAATTATGGTTCCTTCTAATTTTAACAGTACTAAGAAACTAAGCATGCTTGCATATATAACTGAACGAAGTCAGTGTTGACTAATTCATCCATGGCCTTTGAAAAAGAAATGATCAGCTATTGTATCAAACAAACAATTGTGGTTCCTTTTATTTTTAACAGTACTAAGAAACTAAACATGGAGAACATTATAACATGGATGGAAGAAATGAATTTATAACACTAAACTATCAAAGTCTAAGCCTAGAGAAATTTGAAGTCACATACATGTACGCACGAAAAATAAAACAAATGGTAATTTGCAGATTTCTAATAACACAAAAGAGATACACCAGTAGGTGTAAAAAATTGCATATTCTAGAAAACAAATCAGATACATAGTTCAAGTAAAGCTCAGACACCTGGATTGATAAAGACTTAGCACATATTTAAACAAATATCGCATTTGGCAATCTAATAATCTAAATTAAACCAAATGCTAGACGTCTAATTCAAAAGCTCACAGATGGGCATTTGGTTAAAGGAAAGCGAGTGCTGGAACAAGCCAAGGTTTGGAAGGCAGCAAAATCTCTTCCTTGGCCTTAAGTCCACTACTAGTAGCAAATATTTTTGACGAGAATCTAAATGAAATAGAGACATAAACTCAATTCTAACATGGCACATTGGACCATAAGATGGTAACAAGACTTAGATGAAGAGGGAAGGTGATCATCAAATCTATAAAACATAATAAACGACATACAACTGCCACTTTTGCGGATTCTGAGATTTCAATGATTTAAAGACAATAACAAGTAACAGCCCACAACAAAAAACAGAGGGACGGATGTTTGGGTAGGACAAGTCAAGCACGACAATATGTTTGACTCGGCAGCTTTAGGCGTACAACAAAAACATGATAGCAACCTGTTAAGACCAAAACGAGTTTAAACCAAGAAAAAACCAGAACTATGAGACTAACCATTTGGAAGGATTAACACTATTTTAGCTACATTTGATTGCTAAGACGACAAGAACTATTGATCATGCCAACAAGAAAAAAGGATAAAGCTTAAATCACAAAGCCACAAAGTTCAATTTTGTTTTATTTTTTTGTTTTTAAGAAAGAATGAACTGTGAAACAATCAGTGAGAAATAGCTTGATGAACTAGCTTCAAATCACAATACATGAGCTATAGCAATATAAGAAAAAAGTCAATCTTAATTAGTAATATTTTGTCAACAAACAACTCAAAATACTATATCATCTAAAAACAAACCAACAATGAACTGTCCAAAAGAATAATCCTTTAGGCAGAAAACAAAATAGAACATACATCATTTGAAAGGAAAACGAGAGGTAGGAATAAGGACATCACCTTTCTCGGAGCAACGATACTAGGACGACGAGAAGAGTAATTCCACCACTCCCTTCAACTACTAACGGCAAGCTAAGAAAATTCGAAAATTTTGAAGTGTAGAAATGACTATTGCTCAGGAATTCAAACACTAAAAACAAAAAACCTCTTACTATGCTTGCCCCCTTCCTCAGCACAGTGAAGAAGAGACTATTTACAGAAAATTGAGATCAAATTTGATGGGGGAAATCCGTTGGACTTTTTTAAAGAGGAGATTGAATTTTTTCTTTGCTCCTTTTCGAGATCAACAGTAAAAGGAAAGGGGAGTCATTCCCTTATCTGAAAACTTCGCAAAAGGGGGAGAAAAGGGGACGGGACGCGGTTATTGCAGGCGTACTGTTGGCGCCGTTTGGAGCTGGAGCCGGCCGAATTTGAGAAAAATGAAAGAGAGGGCGTACTGTTGGACGCGACTTTTGCTGGATTTCAGTTTTCTCTTAGGACAGCTGGTTCACCGAGATTTCTGGGTTAGCTGGTGTGAAGAAGAAACGCGAGGGGGTCGGGTCGTTTGGTAATGCAAGGCCTTCCTAGAAGATGAACAACTATTGAGTAACTTTTTCTGAAAAAATTGGGATAGAAAAGATGAACATAAATAAATATGTTTGGTTGGCTAAAAACAAAATGCAATAATGTGCCTAATAGAATGTACCATTCATTGAACTATTGGTACAATAAATGATAGCAGTGCTCGTCCAGCCCAACTCTCACTTATTACTAAGGGTTATGTGTTTATTGATTACCACTTGTCCTCTTTATCAATAGGGATCGAGCCAACTCTTCCAAGCTAGGGTTTTCTATTGACAACTGTTGTACAAATCTCTTTTCACAATAACATGATGTATTTGTGCCTTTATATACCTTTTCCGTAAAAAGATTTTCGATGAAGCTTGAATAATCTTAATAATTTCTATTTCATTCTTAGATAAGTTTTTACATGATCTTTCCAATGTTTCCAGAAAAAGTTTCTAAGGTACTTAACGATGTTGCTACTCTTTTGCCGAAACATTTAGAAAACGGCAAAGATATCATAAATTCTACATCTCTAGGACCTGAAATTAGAAACGACATTTCTATGGGGAGGGATTCTGCAAAGGGAGAAATCCCCGTCAATCCTACAGATAACACAAGCAACAATGTGAAAGACGACAAGGATATTGGTGTTGCCTCTAGGACCTCAACGCCTGATGCCATGGGTGATTTCTGCATTGGCAAGCGGCGACGGGGTACTAGAAGTGTAATTCCACCTAAAAGGTTTCTTGATTACTTTTCGAAAGGAAGAAAGTCACTCAAGAAAGGCTAGATTTAGTAATGGAATTGTTATAGAAGAGTGACAACATGGGTAAGAAGCGATGTAGTTATGATTTTGAATATTTTCATCTTCTTTTAGACTTTTAGCTCATCTTTCAAGTGTATTTTCATGTACTATTCCGTGCAATTGCCTTTGTTGCGTCCTATTGTATTCAGTAAGACATTGTTTACTAATATATATTTGTGTTTGTATTGTGAAATTGTGAGTTGTTGTAGTAACGCATTTTGCCGCCTCCATTACTGTTGGATTCTAAAAAACTCATTTGTTGATCATGTATTGTAGATCTTACGAAGTTGTGAGGTTATTATCATTTAGTCTCTCCGATTTTCTATTGTGTTAGTTAAGCCTTTCCAAATTCAACAAGTACAAAAAACAAGTCTGTTTATGCAGAATTAGTATTGTTTTTTTTATTGAGTAAGTTTTTGTAAATCCTTTTCTAAGAATATCACTTAGATGGAACAGTGTTCTCTAGTTAAGATGTTTATAATTACGAATTCATGGTGATATTTTTTTGTTAAATATGTTTATACTTCACAGTGTTGCATTTCCCTCATTTTGTGATTTTATCTTTGAGTGCATAGAGGTTTTGAGCCATGTTATACTTCAGTAACTGGGTTTTCAGTTAATTAATATGATTGTTTTACTTTTTTAGTAACTATCATGTCTCTACTCAGTGAGAATTTTAAATTTGATCTCTTTGTCACGGCTCGAGCTACACACGTGATGCGAACATGGGACCTAGGATCACAAGTGACCCCAAAATAACCCTACAAACATGACATTAGCATTTTAAGAATAATAATAAATGATGCGGAAGCTTAATATCATGAAAATGAAAGTGATGGGTAATACTCATTATAAAACTGAATATATTAAATCTGATAGTTTAATGCAAGAGAAATCAACTCAAATACTAAGTAGAATCTAACTATGTTTGGTCATAGGTTCTCACTAACTAGTAGTATTGGGACATACCCCATTTAAATAAACCAAAACTGAAACTAGAAGACTGAAATACTAATGTAAATAACATAACAATTGTTCTCAGAGAATAAGGACTCACCACTGATGATGTTGAGCTAGAGATCAGGAACCAATCTATGTGTTACCTTGAAGCTGAAAACCTAAACCTATTGCACAAGAATGTGTAGTACAGAGTATGCATTAGTATTTGAGAGGTACTAAGCATACATAATGGAATTAAGATGAAATAACACATAACTGAACAAGCAATAAAGCAACAATATAAACTAAACATGATATAGATAGTGAGTATTGAAGTAATTGAATATAAAGACTACTTTTATAACATGTTTATACTTAAAACTGACTGTACGGAAATGTGCTTAATGCAATAGATTTTGATTGAACGGTGAGAGTTACTAATAACCGACATGAAACTACATGAGCTAAAAATGGAGTCTAATGTATACATTTCATCGATAGGTTCCAATACACCTAGCAAAAGGTGTCAAGGCATGTTGGTTTAATCACTAAGATGATGACCACAGAGGTGAATTACAACCTACGTGGCTCATTGTTTTAGGACAATATAGGTGATTGACCCTAGTCTAACTCAGTATTATGCTACTCCTAATATATTAAATGATTAACATATAAGGACTGAATTTTTGTAATATACTAGATATATCAAAAAACCGTATGCATCAAAAGGCACATGTACGGTTCCTAAGGGATACAATTTTACCCTAATCAATCGACTTTATCGAGAAATATTACCTTTTTAGGCCAAGGGATTGATTCATCTTAGATTCAATCCTATTCGAAAATCAAGTGTCGACACATCTTGAAGGGTTCGCTTATAGTTATTCAAGTATTGACATGCGAACTGAGAGTACAACAATTATAACTAATAATGTGACATTTATAAACTGTAGCATGTGAATATCTATAGTAAGTGAATAATCTGACCTACCATGCATAATTCATAAGCTAACAGATATTTACAACTAGGGTTCTGAATATCATCTAAGAAACTAAATAATATGATAATATGGTTTGAAACATTAGATTAAATGGTTTATGATAATATCCTGAAGTTCTAGAAACCCTAGGCGTGGTTAATAATAGGGAATCAAGAATCTGACTTAATTCTAGGGACCTACTGGGTGAAAGAAGCCCATTAGTGAAATTCCTCATACATAGTGATGTATTCCATGGAGAATTCCTTAGATTTAGGGGCTCTAACTAGAGGAAAATTGTTGCGTTCTTGAACTAAGATTATTGACTTCTTTCTTATGTTAGCTTTCTAACTTTAGAAGTTTTGATGGATGATTTGACTTGGATAAGTTGTAATTATGTTTCTAGGGTAAAACTAATCAAAACTACGTAAATTAAGCTTCTACTGACATAGTTTAGACGTCTTAAATAATTAGGAAAATGCAAAAAAAACCTCGTCTTAATTATTATTGGAGTGAGCAATGAACGACACTGACAGACTACTGCTGGACTGACGGTCCATCAGGTGAGCCATCAATAGCAACTGGAGCTGGGTTTTCTGGGGGCTGATCGATGGATCATGGCCCGACCTAAGGACCTCATGTATGGTCATGGGTCAGCACTTAGTCGTGTTTCATTTGGTTTCTGGGAGATGGGTCGCAGGTGCGAGTCATATTCTTGTATGACAAACCGTTAGTCTTCATATGGTGTGTGGATAGTGCCCATGGGTGCAACCTGCAAAACCTGAAAACTCCAATCTGGTTCGTTCTAGTATACAAGGTTTTACATTATCTCCCTCTTGGGAAAATTCATCCTCAAATCAAGACTAAACTAGTTCAAATGAAGGGAAAGAATTTCAACACTACCCTTAAACACTGAAGACTGATTTCGGAAAAAACTAATTTCCAAGAACATGCAAATATGTTTAAAATACAAGTACAAACTGAACTAACATGATTCTAAAACTGAATTTATGCATGAAAGTGAAAAAACTTAAAAGGAACTCTTACCTCAAGCTGGAATGGAACAGAAGAAAGGAGGTGATGATACTTAACCTTCATGGGTAGTTTTGCTTCCTTAGAGCTCCATCTAGTGACTAACTACTCCACAAAACCTTAACTGAAGAAACTTCTTTTTTTCCTGAACTTTAGAACCTAAATATCAAGGATTTCAACTGGTACCTCTTCATACTTGAGACTATCCTTCAATGAAATATTTTATAAAGTCAAAATAGATGTTGGATTACCTATACACTTCTTCAACAACGAAATGTGACAAAATTGATGCAGTGCTAGCTAGAATTGTAGGCAATTCTAACTAATATGAAACTTTGCCCACTTTTTTCAAGATCTTGTAAGGGCCTACATATTTAGGACTGAACTTCCCTTTCTTGACAAACCTTATAAATCCTTTCATAGGTGACACTTTCAGGAAAACCCAATAATCAACTTGGAACTCTAGTTCCTTTCCCGTTACATCTGCATAATATTTCTAGAGACTCTAGGTTATCTTTAATCTATATATCTAACAAGTTTCACTGCCTCTATTGCATCATGAACTGAATTTGTCCCTATCAAGGATGTTTCACCTACTTCCAAAAATATGAGGTAAACTTATGACCTCTGTATGAGATTATATACAAAGGAACCCTATGAAGCCTAAATATCTATTGGTATAGTCCTCAAAAAATTTGTAGTCTTCATCGCCAAAAAACTTGAAGACTTTGTAACTCTATCAAGTATCACCCAAATTGAGTAATGTTGTTTGCGAGTAGGAGCTAACCCTATGATAAAGTCCATATTTATCGCCTCCCACTTCCAAGTAAGAATGTTGATATCTTGTGTCATGCCTTCTTGTTTATGATGTTCTACCTTGACTTGCAAGAAATTGGGTCACTTAGCAACAAAATCTGCTAAATCTCTTTTCATGTGATTCCACCAATAGACTTTCCACAGATTACAATACATCTTTGTGGCACCTAGATGAATAGAGTATCTTGAGTTATGGGATTCTTAAAGAATTTGTTGTCATATCTCTCCCACCTTAGGAACACATAGTCGACCATGATAGGAAAGTACACCTTCTCCCTTTTGGGATAAAACCTCAACCCTTTCCTGGTGGATTGTACTCTTTAGTTAAAGCAATATTGGATCACACTCTTGCTTTTCCTTGATATCCACTACCAAAGAAGATTTTGACCTATCCTGAACTGGTACACAACCATTGATATGCTCATAATGCGAACTCCTAAGCAAGAAAGTTTGTGAACGTCTTTTGATAGTTCTTTTCTTTCTTCCTCAACATGCGCTACTCTACCCATAAA